TCATTGTCAATCCATATCATATTAAATTTAGATATTTATAAAACAGTCTAAATTCAGTAATTACCTATGTGATATTTTTGAAAATAATGTTCGGACTCATAATTTCTTGAATCCTATTATATGTCACAAATAATCCATTTTTGAAGTACTAGGCTAATAGTAATAGGTTTTAAATAAATTTAAATTTATCCATTATTAATGTGACAGCTAGTTCAAATGTAAGTACATTACATATATGGATTTGAAAAATTCGTTTGAAAGACTGAAAATTTATTATATATAGAGACTTAAATGTAATAACAGCGGCTTGTGCATGCTTCTAAACAACTAAGTTCAACTGCATTATTATACTTTCCTATAAGACCTCATGAAAACTTTCAACTTTATTTTATATATATATAATATATATATTTATATATGTATATCACATTATAATAGTTCTTAACATATTATTTGCAAATAGCAAAAATAAAAGAATAGCATGACTATTCCCATGATATTACTGTCTTTATTGAAAAATATGCATTATAAAGGAGAAGAATGTAAAATGTTGAAATCATAGGCACTGTTTTAAACAGTAATAGGTTAAATTTTTTAGTTCCTTCTGGTATCATTTTTATTTTTGTATTCCAAAATTCAAATTTCTTTATAGGAAGACATAATCCACAATAGTGGTATGACAACAATGTTCCTAAATATTTCCACCGACAAAATAGACATTTCTGTACAAGTAATATGACCCGAGAACTAATAAACATAAAAAAAAATTGCATAAGTGAAAATTGATTAAACTGTGGATCAAATAATGTTTGGTGACTGGCCATTATCTTATTGTATTGCTTATTAATATATTGTAAATAAGAATTAATGATATCAATATTAAAACAACAAATCTTGCCAGGATTTTGCTGAAACAGAGGCCCTGAGCAAGGACCCCTTGGCAGTTGCTAGCATCTTCGACCGTGCCAGTGTGTCATGTATTCCTGATAGCTGACAGTTACTTTCTCACTCTGGTATCTGGTTAATTTCACACTGCGTCTAATATCTGGAGTAACTAATCCTTTATAGCCACCTTTATGCAGCAAAGAATCTATTGTTTGTATCTGGTCCCATCCTAAACATGAAAAATTCCAACCTTTCTAGAATACTTGTAGATATTATCGTAGACATAAATATTTTACTATTAATTCTGAATACTTAATAAAGTATAATATACATTAGTTTTCTTGTTATACATAAAGAAAATACTTCTGAGTGGTAAATCTATCTTTGAATCAAACTAATATAGTATAGTATACTAATATTAAATAATCCCATAAGTTTGTGCTATACATGTTTTTACTGTATAAAATGATATTTTATTAAATATAACATTTTTATAACTTCATGACCTGTCGCTCTTAAAAACCTTCCACTGGCTAAACTGGAGAAGTTCAAACTCATATCGCTCTGTGATTACTAAATGTAATGTGAGAAGCATTAATATACCATTACACAAACTTATGGGATGACCTAATATAATATACATACAAACCTTGTTCCATTGCTACATTTGGTAAATAAGTAGCAGTTCGCTTATTGCCTTTCTCATTGTGAAATTCAATACGAATTCCATGAACACCTACTTCCCAATCTAAATAATCTGTTCCATCTTCAAAATGTCGAAGTATAGAAACACTGACATGCAAACGTGGCAGTTCTTCCCTTGTTATTGGGTTAAATCGAGAGTCCTTAAAGGCGCTATGAGATACAAGACACTTAAAATCTCTATACACTGTCTTTCTCTTCAACCACATATTAAATAATACCTAGTGGTAGCATATTCCCGTAATCCTGCATGTAAATGCATTGCATTAAATGTACCAATGCAGCCTCTTAATCTCATATCTTTGCCAATAGTCCATGTTACAAATAATGGGCTTCAAAGTTCAATATAAATTTTAAATTAGCGTATAAATAATATAAAGATACCATTATATTTATTTATATATACTAGCAATCAATACAAATATAACAACAAACAATTGTATAGTATTGTATATAAGAAGTAAAAAAGTAAAAAATAATATAACTACATACTATAAAGGTATGATTGAAAATATTGTAGGGAAAACGTGTATATATTTAATTTATGTGTTTCTAATTAGTATCTGGAACACAGGTAAACATGTATATACTAAAGTACATAAGATAATGTAATTGACCTAAAAATCTCAAGGTTTGTTTAGAATATATATATATATATATATTCAGATAATAAAAAGAGAAGATATTTAAGAAGTTTGTCATTCAAAGTTACTAAGTCACTCATACAAAAATATCACACAACAATAAACAGTCCCTTTACTGGAAAGAAGTTGTAATTTTCATACCAAATTGTAAACTCTGAAAAAGTACCCTTAACAAAGGAAGATAAGAAGCAAGAGACAGAAAGTCAATCATATGTGTATACTACTTGAGCTACACTTTGAAGGAATGAAGAAAAAATTAAACTTGGCCAAAAAACGCAAGACAAATATGAAATATGAGACGATTTTATAGGATAGTACTCACTATGGTTCATTGCTGAAGTTGGGCGGTTTTGGTGGATCGAGTTGGTGCAGTTGGCAGTATAGAACATCGAAACAATAAAAGCCCATCTCAGGCTGTGCTATTATGGAATTCCGCAAACGTATACCATTCTGTAAACTCACGGTGCCATTACAGGGAACGCTAGAAGAATTGTTTAACTTTTGCTTTTTCGTTCCACAACATCCAGCTGCCATATTTTATCAGTTAATAGCAGCAACAACCTGAGATACGATCGGTTTCCAAACCATACATCTCGCGCTTACCGTTGCTATTGCATACTAAATTGCGCGCGCGTTCCGCTAGGTGTCTTGTTGGTTACAAAACAGCTGTTTCATTGCCCGCCATTTTTGTAATGAAATAATTATTCTGTTCGCGATAAAAATTGGCGTTTCGTACATTATTACATTTTTATTAATATTTTTATATTATATGGATCCTAAATGTTAATATAGACTTAAATGGCATCACAGTTTATAAAATTATTCCATGATTAATTAACTAAGTAGCTATGCTATAATTCCAAAAATATAGTATGAACGAAGAAAAGGGTATTGAAACAATTAAGTTGATAATATAAAATCTTTATTTTCCCCAATTATATAAGTCATCGATACTGTCTCTTATGCTTTGTTCGTCGGAAAATTTTGATTTTTATCGTCTCTATAAAGGAATGTATTATTATATGTGCATTATTTAACATAATCTTGATACCAAGCACACTACATCTTTTTATTTGTAAAAACATATTAACAATATATTTTAATTTTAGAATAATATATTAAATTGTTTCTCATAATCATACATATCACTGTATTCATTCATTGTCCAACTGTATTTAATTTTACGTTAAATTTTATGTATATGCTCATGAAAAATTACTATTATGCATAAAAATAGTAGTTATATGTTTTAAAATCTTTTATAACTGATAAGCAATTATTAATTCGACACAAATGTTAGAGTTAATTTATTTTCATAATGATTTTTTTAAAAATATAATCACACTTATTTATAATTAACAGTCAATAACTATCCAAATGTATGTGCATCTTATATATATATATTTTTTAATATAATTACTAATTATTATTCACAAATATTAATATCAAATATATTTATATTAAATCTATAATGGATTTTAATAAAAGAATTAATATATTCTATTGTCACAAATCGAGTACATACAATTATTATGCAAGTACTGAATACTTTATAGTTAAGTATGTAACTGGCAGTTAATTGGACGTTGTACACATAAAGTTGTAGCACAATTAAATTCTAGGAACAAACTATTAAATAATACTCGTTAATGGTAATAAAATCAAATAACTAATTGCACAAAAATATGATGTTCCTTACTATTACCAATTACGTTTACTACAGCAACATTAATGAATAAGTTAGCACTGTATAAAAATCTAAACGAAAATGAGTATAGAAGATTGGAAAAATTAAATGTTAGAGCAAATGGAAGAACATATTTTGGACTTTTTAGAAACTTGCAGTGATTTGCTTTAATGTGTCTTAATTATGCCTTAATTTAAATGAAAACAGAATAATGAGATAAGTAGAGTGTACAAAGCAACAGCAATTCTATTTATGACTTCAGAGTTGGAGAATAATTAGAATCACAATGAGATCATCGTATTTTAGCTTACTATTATGTTACACCTATTATCCATACACTGTAACCCTTTCACAGTGTAATAAAATGATGAGGAACAACAATTTTTATTTAGACAAAGTCAACAGGGATTAAAGCTGCTTACTCTATCAGAGAAAGGAGCAAAAATTTTAATGTACAGCCTTACCCAAATTTTTATAAAATTAAATACTTCTGTACATGATGCTTTATCTGAATCTTTTTCACACTGTGAATGGGTTGTATAGTTATAATGCAGTCCATTGTTCTCTTACAGTAGAGGTCCCTGAAAATCTTTTTATTACACTAACAACAATAAGACTGAACATTACATAAACATATACTAACATTTTTATTTTTATATAAATAAATGATTACCTATAATGAAATTAATTGTCAATGCATAGATTACAATTTGAAGTCTATTATATTATGATATCTATCACAACATAAATTGTTATCATCTGTTTTTATTATCAAAATACTTTTAAAGAATTACTAAATAAAATTTACAATAATCAAAATTATAGTATTAATTCTGGTTATGGTTCTACAATTTCTTCTTGTATAGATAATGTAATGGTGTTTTTATCAATTTCATATTAGTTTTTCAGAACTTGTATATCAGTACTAAATCAATAATATGTTAATTGTACTTTCATTTACAAATTCTGGAAACCATTTTCATGCAACTTAGAAGAGCCAATACATGTTTCTATCAATACAATAAATATAATACATATTAACAATTACTGTTAAAACCATTTCTTCTCCTGATTTATGCATTAACTCTATCACTAAAAAATAGAATCCTTTATTGTAATAAAACTCTGGACCATAATATAACTAGCTTTCTAAGTAAACTTCAATGTAACAATGGTATAAGAAAAAAGCATAATAAAATAGCTAAATATTTTGGACAACTTTAACAAGTGATAGAAATCATTTATTTATACCATTAGTACAAAGAAATTCGGATCAATGAATTTAAAATCAGCATATCCGTTATATAAATCAATCATCATATATAAAAAACAACAAGAAAGGAGACTAAAAAGTTTTTCTACATATGATTATTCTGAAGGAATGAAGAATATCATTTTTACAAATTGCTTAATTTATAAAATCATAATTTGTCACGCGAATCAGTTGCAGCTTGACATGAAATATATAATTAGATAAAACTTAGACTGCAACACTAATAACTGCACGCTGCATATAACTTAAAAGAATATTAACACAAGAAATAGTATTAATAGAAAATCCTGTGTTCATTCACCCTTCATTTAAATATTCGTATATGTAGATCTAAGAATGATATTCTATATTCATTGTAGTATAGGAATAATAGAAACACATTTTTCGCGTGAATTTGTACATTATATCTTGTAAAGCAGGCAGTGAATTGCAGGCAGCATCACTGTGCTATGAAATCGTTCACGTCACTCGTATACTGCAGACATTAGTGTAAATGGACATGTGATAAGTATGATGGCAGCACTAAAATTATACTTTTATTATGATTGAACGTATAAATGAATAGAAGCGCATAATGATAAATAATTATGCTTTAATAAGCATTTAAAAATCGGAGCTTTCTTCAGAATATCTTATGACTATTGATATTAATTTTTATATTAGCTATTCACATATTTTGTAAAAATGATAGAGGAATAAAACAATGCCATCATACACAAAGTATGTCTGCTCTCAAGGAGGACTCTGTGGCAGAATAAAAGGAAAACTGTGTATGCAGAAACATACAAAGTACAATAGGCACCACTTCAAACAATGAAAAATAGCGAATAGTTGCCGCCTCCAATGTCATTTTCGTTTGCGAACCCCACGATCTGCGGGTTCTTGTGATGAAAAACGATGAACACAAGGAGGAGGGGGGTGTATCTGTGGATTTAAGGGAGGATAAGATGGACCTGTTTGATCCCACCAAAATGATGAATAATCCCACACAGGTACCATGACTGGAGAAATAGGAGGCATTGGAAGAGGATGTATGAATGATGCAGGATGACTACGTTGTGTCATCATTAATCCAGTTTGTTGACTGGTTAAATATGAACTATTTTGAGTATTGGTGCATGGTAAGTGAGATGAATGAGGACTGTCTGTATTAGAGTGAACTTCAATGGAATTTTGAAATACTTGGGGTCCTTGACTAGGACCCCAGGCCAGCTGCTAGCATCTTCGGTTATGCCAGTGTGTCATATATTCTTGATAGCTTACAGTAATTTTTTCACTTTGATATCGCGTTAACTTCACACTACGCCTAATATCTGGAGTGACCAATCCTTTGTAGCCACCTTTATGTAACAGTGAATCTATTGTTTGTATTTGGTCCCACCCTAGACATAATATATATTGCTTTTCAATGTAATTATGTACATCAAGCATTGAAAAATATATTTTCTTAATTTACTTTACATAGGTTAATATTTTGTCATAATGAAGTTAAAATTCTATAGTAATAATGTCCTTTTCATAATTATAAGTTAATCTAGTACACCTGATCCTCAATTTAAGTGATAGTTTTTATGCACAATTTGAATTTAGTAACAGAATAAAATGTACATTTGTTTTCTGAAATGTCATTATTATGATTTCTTTTGTTTGCCTATGAAATAAATATGTATTTCTTAAACTTATACCAACTATTTTTTCTAATATTTTTTCTCTTGTACCAACAGACAATAAAATGAATACACATGGAATGGATTTTCACGTAAATTAAGGATCAGGTGTACAAATAAAATGTACAAACCTTGTTCTGTTGCAACATCAGGTAAATAAGTAGCAGTCCTCTTATTACCCTTTTCATTATGAAATTCTATACGAATTCCATGAACACCTACTTCCCAATCTAAATAATCAACACCATCTTCAAAGTGTCTCAATATAGAGACACTTACGTGTAACCGTGGAAGTTCTTCTCGTGTTATAGGATTAAAACGTGAATCTTTGAATGCACTTTGGAAAGTATCTAATGTCTTTAAACATATATGACAATAACATTGTTGGAAATAAATATACACTAATCTTACCTGGTTGTTGCATATTCCCGTAATCCTGCATGTAACTGCATTGCATTAAATGTACCAATACATCCTCTTAACCTCATATCTTTTCCAATTGTCCATGTAACAAACAATGGACTAAAACAATAAACAAGGAAATTTATAAATTATATTGTAACAAATATTCTTTAACAGAATTTAGTTATAAATAAAAATAATACATGTAAGTGTAACACATTCATTATAATAACAATTTTATTATTACAACAACAGTAATAGATGTAATGTTTTAGAATAGAACTCTTTTGGTTATTCAAATTTGCTTATAATATTTCCTATACTATTATGAATACATAGGTGGTAATTGTTTTTTCTTTAAAAAAACAAAATAAAATAAAGTAAAATAAGCATTTTTGGTTTTCATTTAAAAAACAAAACAGATCAGAAATGTTAGTAAACACTTTAAATAGCATGCTTATTCCGGGTGATACCAAGCAAGTGTAAGATATTTCAATCTTCATCTTGTAAAATATAAGATGAGATGTATCGAATATAGTAACAAAGAAATTTAAGGAGGGATAAGTATAAAACATTCGGATAAGAGCAGCTGAAGGCACGGACATGTGAAAGAGGAAAACAGAAAGAGGTAAGGTGGGGGGGAGGAGGGAGAGAGAAAAAGGGAAAGATATGACACAAAACAGAAAGAAAAGCAAAAGACTGTAATATGAAAGAAAGCATAAGAAGTAAAAAGCGAATAACGATCGTCAAAAAACATTACTTACAAAGCTTCATTGCTAAAGTTGGGCGGTTTTGGAGGATCAAGTTGATGTAGTTGGCAATACAAAACGTCAAAACAAAAAAAGCCCATCTCGGGTTTCACGATTAGCCCATTCCTCAGCTGTGTGCCATTTTGTAATACCGAACCATTGCATGGAGCGCTCGATGAATTGTTCAGCTTTTGCTTTTTCGTTCCACAACAACCTGCAGCCATGTTTCCTTCATCGACTCTGACGACGGACGCAACTGCTACGGATACGATTGGTCCTCAACCCACTCGTCTCTCATTCTTCCCTGTCGTCGCGGGCTTAATTACGCGCGCGTTCCGTTAGATGTCCTCGTGCTCGCTGAAACAGCTGTTTCATTGTGCGCCATTTGTTGGGTCACTCGACGACGAACAATTGAACTTGAAAATTGGCGGCAGTACACGCGGTTTCTTCCGTACAAAAATTATTCGAATTGGTTAATTAAAAGGAGACAACGCGAGTTCAGTGTTTCGCTTAATATATTCTATTATTCTAACTCTTTTGGAACTACACAAAACGTAAGATAACTTTAAATATATACTTTTTAAAACAATTATTAAGACATTAACAATGCTGCAAAATGGAAACGATACGGGGTACATTTTCCTTGGAGTAAAATATTACAATTATATTCAAATTCATACACTACTGATATAATATGTACAAATGGAAAATAATACTGTTTGATAGCAGAGTTATATGTATGTGCAATTTGGATGTGCCACTGTGTATACGTTTACCGAAGTGTCTAATTTACTTAAGCTACTCGATGCACTCGGTGTAAGAAGAAAATGGTTGTTCAAGTATTGAAACGCGCGAAGAGAATCCTTTAGCATTTGAAACATAAACACAGAAGAAATTAATTATGTTTAACAAGTAACGTCGAATACAATTGGTTGGAGAAGAAACTATGCCGAGGGCACCGACTTTTCTAACCTCTTACCTGGCACCTGCTCACGATGCACCGGAGGAGCCCGAGGCGTGACAGCAGATTCAACCTGGCAACGTGCACTTGCTTGTAGCTGTCCGGTACATTGCCAAGTGGCTATATTTTTTCTGACAGCTGACATCATGTACCCGCGGTTTATGGCATAACGGTTGTACGTTTTCTGCCAAGTGTCCAGTGAAATAACAAAGTGTTCATTTTTCGTTGGAAGTTTGCATTCCCAGAAAACAAAACGAGCTGGACAGTCGTAACCTAATCGTTAACTGTGATGGTACCGTGTGACAACAAATAGTGCTAGCCGTACCATTCGTGTGAATATAAATATTGACTGTCCGGTTGATGAAAATAAGCGGCAACGAAACGAATACCCGTTAAACCACAACCGTTATAAAAGCTAACAATGCTATGTCGAATCGATCAACCATGACGAACCGGTATCGGATAAAATATTACTTTGAATACCGTACGAAATTTTACCGAAATTTTACACAACTCTGTGTTCAATCTCGAAACTATTGTAGTATGTGAAATATAGTTACGAACGGGTGTGTGTTTGAAGCGCTTTTTATGCGGAGTTCACACAGCGATGGATAGAACAAGAAGAATTGTACAGTGTTGACGAGAGCAAAATAGGTAAGGATTTTGCTTCTATATTTATTCCACGTTTATGTGTGCCCGCGTATACGTGTGTATTGCATTATTCGAATCTCGTTCGCGATGGTCATTTCCAATCTCGTCTCACATTCGCGCTCGAGTGCGCGCGCGCGCGAGCACGCATGCTACTTGAATCGTGTTTGTATTTGTTGCGTGCAATTTATACTTGAACACGTTATATAAAATGTGTCATAATGCTTCTAACGCTCAGGTGTGTGAGTCGCATTTACGCAATCTTACGTGCGGCTCGAGTCAGATTATTTCAAATAGATAATGGAGGTCTCGCAAGGATATTCATTGAACGGAAAATTCGAAAGCGCGAACGTTATTAGGCAATTCTTGAAAATTATGCATGAAAATATTTTAATTACGCTGAAAAAACGATCAATTTTTCACAAATTTTGGAGTAGTTCATTTAAAAATTTATAATATAAAACAATTTGTTTAACAGAAGCTTTAATAATACTTCACATTACTTTGGCACGTCTGTTTAGTTTTTTTGTGCCACTTCGAGAACGCTTTCCAATCTTTCAAGGTCACACGCTTACGAGTAACAATTAAAATATTATACATATACGTGTTACAAATGCAATTGTTACTTCGACTGTGATAATTAAATTGTAACGGAGTACTATATATGTTGTCGCGGACTAGATTCAACGACGTACAAAAATGTAACCTTCTAATGTTTCTACGAACCCATCTTTATATAGCGACTATTTTAAAGTGACCAAACGCAGTATCACAGTGATTCTTAGAAATACATTTTTCATGTATGAATTAATTATTTCTCAGTTTAAACTTTTCTTTAATTTGTAACATTTTTACAGAGCTAATGCTTAGAAAAGAAGTATAATGTGCGGGGTGGTTTATAGGTTTTCTTGCAAGCTTCATTATGATGTTAAATGTGAAGTTCATTAAATGTAAAGGATATAACAATATGATTTCTCTTAATTCAATCCAATAAAAATAAATATGAAGAGTTCTTGAACAGTATTTAGTACGTACGAGTGACAATTATGATTTATTAATGTTGGATGATCCGAAATGCGTTTGTCTGACCGTTCCGGGTTACCGTTTGAGAATGCATCTCGACCGGCTTCACGATACTTATCACTGTAATGGGCATCGCTGACACAGGCATCACACGTTCCAATTCACGCTTCGCAATTATCTGCACTTCTGCTGTATCGGTGTGCGATCGAATCACGCCTTAAGTAGCGTTAAGTAATTATAATTCCAAAACGGCTGCTGATCGATTTGATATTTCACTGTCACTTTTAAACAGCGCGCCGGTGCATGAAATGTTTAGTATATTCAAGTTGTATAATGCCTGGGAAAAACATAATTTCGTGCAAGGCCATAAATAAAAATTACGATCTTTGGTTACGTAACTTCGAGCTACGTAAAGATATTTTATTCAATTTAAAGCAATAATGTCCAAGTGACTGCGTGCAAAATTATTTAACATATTTCGGATTTAGAGACAGATTTCTAATTCTCCGTATGACCTATTTCACTCAGAGACACACAAAACCCATTTACTAGTTGAACGTGGTTGCTGTTGGTGTTGATAATGCACTCGTACGCACCCTGCAGCGCGGTTTCACCATTTAGGCTTCGGAACAAAAGTTCCGAGTAGTGAGGAAATCAAGCAACCAATGGGTACTGGAATTTTGTTTATAGAAATACAATTTCGTTCGATTTCGATAGAAGTATAAATATTTTAATCAAAATACAGAAATTTGTAGACTTTGTTGGAGAAAAATTTGAGAATACTAATCGAAAACCAACGTGAGCACGCTATACTCTGATCGCATGTTGATAATGTATAAGTAATCATTACACCTGTCCACGGTCAGAGTTAAATCTACGTAATATGACAAGTCTACATCATAAGATACATCAAACAGTTATCGTGAAAAATCGAAGGTTACGCCTGTCGCAATTAACGCGTGACGTGTCCTCTTACGTAGGAAAATTGCATTCTAGCACGCAAGAGAAACATCGAAAGAATCGGCGAAGGTGTGTACGTGTGTACGGATCTTGTCGTAGAGCACGAACAATGCTCTTCCCGTGTCATTCTTTTCAATGATTGCAACAAGGCTCTGCCTGTGTACCTGCCGTGCACAGTATCCCTTTCAATTTCGCCTCATTTCTTTTCTTCCACGCGCCGACGAATCTCGCAATAGGCTTCTCCCACGAAAAGCGGCTTCCCCTTTTTTTCAATTACGTAATGATGTCAAAAACACTTTTGCTTATGACTCGCTGGTACAAACACAGTGGCAATCTTAATAGCAGAGCATGCGGCTTTACCGTGAATCCACAGAGATCCACCTTGACCTTCTTCGCACTAGCAAGGACGACTCCACCGTAAGGTCTAGAGAAACGTGATATGCTAGTTGTTCTAGACTCGAGATCCAAGTGAAAGCATTACCAGGAAATTTTAAACGCATCACGGTTGGATTTCGATTAGCGTGAAAGTTTCTTTATTGATTAATGATAAGCGGAGCAGTTTTCATAGTTTCTACATTTAGATAAACGATTGTTAAATATAATATAATTTAATGCTCGGACTTGTATTATAGAAACCTTCGGTTGCACGGCATTATGAAGTTACGCGAATTCAGTATTCAAATGGTGCATTTAAAGGATATCTTCAGTATATTTATTCGTCAGTCGGTACCTTCGTTTATCTTTCGTATAATCACGCGTCTATTGGGAAATCCCCGCCTTGACGAATCAGTGTCTGCGTTGTCGTTGAATGAATATTCCCACATGTTCTCCGCCCTCCGACACTGCTGCTGAGTCTACCACGATGTGAAATTATATGCATCGTCGAACCCTAGGCGATCTTCATTCAATCGTTCTCATGTAATTATCATAGATTACCTTTTACAATATCCCACATTGTATATAGTTATGTAAGCAAAACGTTATGGAGCCTCCTAACGGATACGTGAAATTATAGATTTGTAGATGTAAGCGTAGTAAAGGACAAATATATGTATAATTTATAACAAATGTTTTTCTTGGAATTAAGTATTCCATATCAAGCCCAATAAGAAACGCAGAAAACAGAAAATTAAAATTCTTGTCCATTACGGGCACTGAAAATAATTCTGGGCGTACAGATTGAAGTCACAATATTCCAACACTCAACAAAATTATGAGCAAATATAAAACTGAAAAACGAGGGGACACGAAAACCAAGAAAATCGACAGAAAATAACTTTAAAACTGGGAACGTTGAATCAGAACCATCTAGATTCAAAAGATTCAAATTAATAGACGCAATTATTAACAGAGGCGTAATTAAAACTTTAACACGCTTCCAGCATCAAGCATCTCATGACTTTGGCATCTAATATTTAGAACCCATAGTCTAGACTAAGTTGAAACCTCTAGACCCTTTGGCTAGTTTGCTGGAGGCTGTGTCCTCACAAGATCTAGACTCCAAGATCCTGTCAGTACTAGGCTACCGGGGTCTCTGGCCTCTATTAGCCCTCCAGTCTCAGAGATCCTTGGCTTTTGGCATCTAACACATACCTCTGATAATCTAGACCAAGTTGGAACCAATTAGAACCCACTTTTTTTATTAGCTGATCCACTAGACGCCTTGTATCCACGGATTACCATTGAAACTAATTTTGGGATCCCATTGGTGCCGACTTCACGGATTTCCGAGATCATAACGGGCCTTTAAAGAAGAATTATAATACTGTGACACCTACAATATCTTAATTCAATCAATGCTATGTTTTTTATGCAGCTGAGAAAATAATTGCATTCTGGATGGTAAAGATTAGCCAGAGGAATATTGCACATTAAATAGTTGTTCAGACAGTATGCTCGAGTGATTCACTTTACTGACGTACCTTGCTTCATCCACGTGTACGCGTTATTTTGTGCAAATTAGCGCTCAGGTTGCTTGAACCGTGTTACTGTTTGAATTGTATAACATGTTCTGCACGAACCGCCAAGTCTTCTGCTCGGGGATCTTGTTGCAGTCATGCTTAAAGCGTTCGCCATAATTGAGACGTTCCGGATGTAAATAGGCTGTTATGAACTATATTTTTGTTATTTCGAAAATTAGAATATTCAACGGGAATGGGGTGTCTCATTCGGTGTAAAAATAATGTTACTGTTTTTGTGTAATTCGACGTGGTTGAATTTCATGTCACAGCATATTTTGATAGCACTGTGTTATGCGAATTAGTTTTATGAGAGCGTTCTTGCCTCTATGCATCTGTTAAATACGTAATCGCACGTGGATCGCGTAAGGTGAACCACCTTGGAGGGAGTGCAGAGACCCTTTTCTGCGTACCACCGACAGCGAATTGAAGTTCTTGGACCGTAAAAAGTCATCGCTGAGGAAAAGTTTTCATTATTTTTAGCACTCATCGCGGTTTATTTCGTGATGATAAAGGAGATTCGTGGCTCTATAACTTCTGCCTTGCTCTAACTATTATTCCATTCGAAAATACCGCCCCGAATCGATAAATATTTGTCTATTCGTAACCGACAGAGATTCTTGAACCTTTAACCTGGACGGAAATAGGAGAATCGAATCGTTGATTTGCAAATCGGGCTCGCTGTCGTCCACCGTTTCTCAAATTCGGCGTTTCAATTGTACAGAGTGGTTATTAGATGAGCTTCAAACGAATGATTTTACTTTTAGGTGACATTATGCGATCTAAAAAAGGTATAAGCATGATTTAATTTTACACATATTTAATCTCATTCTCTAACATTAATATAATTACGTCGTTACTGTATTTTGTCACGATATTTCTTTTTTCATTGAACATCTGGGGAATAAAAGTGATGCCAATCAGTTTAACTCATTTCTTTCTGTTGGTTTTCTCATTCACATCTCTCTCATGTTCAAATGCTCTCACATATAACTGAAATTTAATAACTTTATGATTTAAAAAACGAAAAGAATAACGTAATTACGGCGAACAATTGTGACTAGAGGTTACATTTACATTGCGGTATGTAATGGTAATACTTTCAAAGAGTATCTAAATTATCACTACAAGGCAAACCTTTATCTCGGTAATTCTATAGCTATGTCACTACTTCTATACTTTTCCATTCGTTACAGTTAGACCGTGGATGTTATAGAAATTATAAATTTTTAACTCTTTGTTTCATTTGAAAACTTTATCTTATTATAAGTAAGATAAAAAATTTATGAAACATTTCACGAAGTTCGGGTTTTGTGTTCGACATCCGCGGTCTAATTAAGGTACATATAGATAGAAGCCTGACTCTATACATCAGTAATACAACTCTAACTTATTACAAACATATCGGAAACTATTTCATGTGGATCTATAATCGGAACCAGTATTAGTATAATCTTCTGTGGACCATTCTAAGAATCAATGGTTGATATTATGCGCAGAAAAAATTGCGAAAGAAACAAGTGGTAATAGGTAGGACCAAGATTTGCCAACGACTGCGTTTGCTGCTGAGGAACATATAGACTCCTTTACTGCTTTGTTTCTCAAATCGTTGATTGTTCCATTGGAATTGCAACTGTATTCTTCGTCGGTCGGTAATACGTCTTTTACTATCTCGAGGAACTGATCGAACGGACACAATTCCGTGCACCCAGGAATCGTTTGAATTATAAGTTGTTCGTAGACACCAGTCCAGAGTAAAACCTGTTAGCAAAGCATAAGTTATAAATACATCCAATTATATAATTAAATCAGTTTCTCTACTGTAATGTTGCCTCAAGTCTTAGTTATAATAGTAAGTTAATAATTTCGTTTCCATTTCATCGAATAGTAAATACTGAATTTTTTCTAAATTATAAAAATATTTTCGAATATTTAAGAACGTTTCCTAGATTGGAGAACCTAAATCGAAACCCAAGTTACCTCGACACGGAAGCTTCTAACTTTTTACAGCGTAGATTATTTGATTATAACTGCTTCTGAAATATCATTGAATACTTACTCGTACGTAGTAAGTTCTTTTCTTATCGCGCAGTGTTTCCAGGATAATTGTAGATCCGTATGCAGGTATGACGGGTTCGTCTAAGTCCAGAGCCTTCGCCACAGCTGCGACGTTCACTTCGTGGCCCGAAAACAGGAACGCATTCCTGTCGGACGGCTCCAATTTGCCTGTCTTGTACAACTGAATGTCTTCGACCATTTTACGTAATAGCATACCTGTAGGAAACGATCGGAAGGATTTCATTACTGTGACATTGGTAGCGAAGCGGATCTTGCCGAAGTAGAAAAAAAAGTCGAATATTCTTGTACCTCCGTTTAGACGCTTCAGTGTCTTTGTGTACGATCTGAGTTTAAAGTCCAACGCTATTATTTCTTTCATCGGAGCCGGATAAACCGCCTCAGTCCATTTTGGAATGCTCAGGTTCTGAGCTGCCTGGAAATGATATCGTTCACTGTGTTAAATTAAAACGTGGAACGTTAATGATTGATGGTCGTGTAGGATGGACCGTGATAGTATCACCTGTTCTTTGAATAAGTTGTAAAGATAAGATACCCCGGACGTTGTGTTCACCACTTTCCCGCTGTGTTGGGTCAAGTAACTCATCACGCTTTTGTACTTGTTTACTATATCCTGCGTGTTTTGCTGCCGCAAGAACTTACTGTATTCTTCTTTATACCTTGAAACACAAGGGAAAGAAATTACCTTGATGAACGATGATGCTTATATCAAGTTTTAATGACTTTTAATGACTGATAAAGTAGATATGTCTTTTACAACGTTTCCATTGCTCGCGTTATATAATTTTTCTTTTCATTTAGCTTGGTCTGAATTGTCTTCCGCTATAGATACAAAATATTTGATAATAACTTATTCCCAGTAATTTCAACGAACAACAATTCGAAAAATAACCTCTCTACTATACAGATCAAAAGAGGAAAAAAGAATCGGAAATTATTCAGGCCCGAACTGCACATTTTTATGTAGATGGAATTTTTTATGGAGTAATTTATGAAAATGCGAATAAAAATGTATATCTCTTCAGTGTTGAATATATAATTAACGAAACGAAATTATAATGCCATATTCATTAATTGGCTGACGCACAATGCCGATACGATTCTCCCGACAACTCAATATTTTATGCATACGCTGATATAAACAAAATATAATTTGCAGTCTGTTTATGACACAATTTTCTTTACATTTAATAAAACTTCGTGCAATCTTTTCAAGATGCGACACGCATGAACGCGATTCGGATTCTTATCGAGTTTAATTGCACAATTGCTTGTTCCAGCGTGTTCTACGCGAACATTTTGCATTGTTCCGTTAATGAATTAAGTCACTAGAAGAATTACCTGGGACAGTAATGCGGGAATAGGAGATTGTCAGTTTCATAGGGAACAGAGAACGTGGACGCCGGAATCCAGGGTAGATGGGGATTCCAAGTCTGCGTCTCCGAGGGCGGGAATAATCCAGCCAGAACTAGCTGGAGAGACAATTGAGTCCTTGGGACGTCCGTTGATCGGGCGTAGATCTTCTCCGGCCAATAGTCTGGCCCGAAATATCGATTGTAACGTTCACGGAGCATTGTGCCTATCCTGTACTCGCGCATCTTACCTATCTGCATGAAACAATCACCATTCGTATCTTATCGTATCAATAATCTTTCCAACGTTCCTTTTGTTTGTTTCACCGTTTTATACAAAGAGAATCGAAGTCGAGCAGGATCTCACCTTCCCGAGATCCGCGTGCTTCAAGGGAGAACGTACGAAGCGGAATCAATTAATTAAACTGTAATTTATTCGTAATTGAAATTCAAAGGTACAAAAAATCTGTTCGATTTTCTAGATCGTAATCAGTTTCCTTTATATCGGAACAAACGACAAGCGATCCGAGTTTTAGAAATGATCGAAGAGAACAAAATTCTGTGTTTAATTGTGATAATAAGTCGTATAAAATGCGATCAGATAAAAAGAATTCTAAGCACAGACTTTAAACGTTTGTTTCAAACACCTTTTCACATAATAATACTCACATTCGTCAGATCTCCGTTGCCCATCGGATGGTACGAATGGTCCTTGTAGGGATCACTGGGATAATTTTGAAATTCTCGATGAGGCACTTTGTCACCGTGTCGGAATACCTTAAAAAAAACACAACAGTCGATGGTTAAAATTGCGAAGGAGAGGTTTCATCAACGATAACTTGAAACGATCAGGGAATTCCGAAATTTTTCACTTTCGCGTTTACGTAAAGATAGTCCTGCTCCAAACGCGCGGTTAAAAAGTAAGCATCTCTCGCGAAAGACCGGCGATGATTTACCACGTGAAGCATTTTTAAATCCAGATCACAGTAGACTGCGTTGATCAAGAACAAAGCGGCGATGAACGCCGTCGATCGGCCCGGCAACATTTTCCTCTCGCAGCACTGGATTTCGACGCGCAGAGAGGACAGGTACGTCCGGAATGCACAATTTCTCTTGACGATCTACGAAGGAGTGTGTATTCTTGCCGGCGCTTATCTAAAACAGCTGGCCGAGTGGGGGCGGATAAGGAACACTGGCGAACAGGTTTGCAGCTCCCTCGATTTTTATTGTTGGTTCGCCGTTTTTGCTCGTTACGTTGATCCTTTTCCCGTTGCGGAGTCGCGGTACTCGTGGTGCTGCTCGAAGGCCACGCACTCAAAGAATGGGAAATCCGGCGGCGAGCTTGTCTCCCGGACTGGATGCATCAGGTTCGGCTTCATATCCACGAGAAACCCGTGTCTCATCGTTAAACAAAGATTATCGTGGATTGCCTTGAGGACGCCCCCTGTCGGACACGCCGCCGGATCAACCGACACATCGAATCTCCCGACTGATCCACGTTACTTAATCCGACATTTCGAATTAAATGAGCGCGGAGAAAGCGAACGACAAACTCGTATTCATATATCGTTACATCATTTATTATGGTAATGACTCGGTCAGACGTTTTCGACGGTTGTTCAATCAGTTCCTGGAATTCTTCGTTTCACATATACCCGGTGTCGTGTGTAAGATCAAGAGACACGCGGGTTCGGATTGGGATAGGATCGCGGATTTTCAGGAGTACAAATTTTCGTATTTGCTTTTTGTTTATAAAATATCGTACATTGCGATTAATGATAATATATTCAATCGTGTCGGAATATTCAGACGCGGTTCATTAGAATATACGTAGTTCGATTCAATATATGGTGAATATTGATTGATAGCATTATTAAGACATAATTGGCTGTTTGCCGTTTCATCTGTATCTATAATAGGATTCGTGAGAACTTCTGACAAAATATTCATGAAGACGTAGCTATTGTTTATCAAGGTATTTAAGTATATACACGAGTTCTTAGAAATTACGAAATATTTCTCGCTAGACGAGTTTCTTTTTCACGGGAATCTTAGAAATCCTCGAGAAGGACTGTCACTGATTAGCTTTAATTAGTTCAGGTAAAGTTATTTCTTCAAACAATAATGGATCACGATTCATGGGGAAAACCTGTCCCGTTCGTCAGACTTCCGCCAGGTAACCGGAGCTCCACGGAGGTTCGATTCGACGAAAATATTTACATCACACTTTCTTCACTTCTTCCTCAACAACTCCCGCGAACTAACGTTCACTGACAGCTGGATTTTCCGTTTACCTCTAGATTGCCGGTGTTCATTCAATTAAAAATATTTATTGAAATGTTTATGACGCGAGGGGTTCAACATAAATCCGTTACACTTGATAAGTTGAACCGTTTTACATCACACGCTTGGAAACTAAACTACAATGTAGCAATGCAAGCAATTATTTATTATCCTCCACCTAACTGGTTTCCCACCTTTGATCTTTCTTGATGCCTCATTATCTGCGTTTTGTAACTTCTTTCAGGTGCGCTTTATCCTTGTAGGAAGCAGTTTTTATTTCGCTATCTAACTACTCCCGTTAGGCTTTAATAGAAGTAAAGCACGCAACTGAGATTAATAATACGTTTAATTACAATGTTGTCGATTGGAAAGGATGTCAGCTATTTTAATAAAGTGTCATTTACAATGACACGTCACGATTATAATTACTATTTAAAAGCGGCGTAAAGTGTAAAACTTCTGTAATAATTATGAACGGTAATAATCTTCCGTAAGTAATTCCAAATCAATTAACAACCGAGGATTTAAACGTACTTAAACGTCGTTTGTGAAAACATTGAGAACGTCCACCTTTCGAAGGTCGATCAAAATGTAACAAGTGGCGATCATGTATTCTTTGCCTACACACGTTGTTCCAGTTTCATAAGTTTCCAATAGTAAGTGCAGATATCCGTTGCGTTTATCAAGGATACGCTCGCCTGATTGTTATCATTAACCTTTACTCGATTGCAACATTACAGTTATGTTGGTGCATTGACCATTCGCCTTGTAATATTTACATCGCGGTGTTCTACATGTTCGCGATTAGGCGTACAAATTGTTCCGGGTGCTTGAATGTCACGCATTCCTTTTACGGTTTTCTTTCCAGCGCACGTGAAAAATTGCACGAAACATTGAACTTCGATAGTTGACTCCTTAAATATTTCTATATTTCCAGCTTTTATTTTCTCTATTCTTCAGAGGAAAAATACCGGAAAACTTTGCAGGAAAACTATTACGTGCATCACGTCAATTATTTCTTTAATCATATTACGTATAGCTATAATTAAGTATATCAATCATCCTACTTTATTCACGCGTTTCTCGGATTAGCACTTGTTTTTTTTCCCTAATATAGGATTCCAGGGAACTTCGTGGAATTTTGCTAGGATAATATCAAGCGATTGCGGTTTCTAAAGGATTTGAAGAATTTCAAGTTTTTACATTGAATAATATGTTGTGAGCACACGTGGAATTCAATTTGCTTTCGAGCAAAAATAAGAATACGAATCTGTAAAAGAATAAGACGCGTTCTCTCATTTTCGCATGAAAAACGCCTCGAACTCGCTAGTTAATAAATAACGTGAGTACGTCCAGTTTCCTTGTAAAATAAAGTATTTACCATGTTTTACCGATCATCTGAGCATGATAAATCGTTTCCAGGCACGAGATTCAGAGATACGCGCGAATACAAACACATAATTGATTCTGACATATGTTCATTATGCTACTTTTAGCAATTTCATTCGGACCTATAAGGACACGAACATGTCAATTCACGTCAGACATAAAAAACTTTCTATTTTGTTTACGGAACTGTAACGTAAACAACGACTCTTACAGCATTTCTTGAAATAATTACAAATGTAGCGTGCGAGTTCATAAATCGTTTTCGAATGACTTCACGGTGTTTGAACGTTATACCGTCGCTAAAATAAAGTCTGATGTGATCGGTTTCGATATTAAGGATAAATGAGAGGTGTTCGTGGACGCGTCATAACTTTCGGCTGCTAATTTAAAATTAAATATTATCTTTGCTGTTCTGCAAAAAATTTGTGGATTTTTTCCTGTTTTTTGTTATATTTCGATTCTTCGTGGAACTACTGTACCCGATATATTGAATATTAAGATTTATTAAGGATTAGAGAATTACTCTTTAATTGAATGTCATTATATATAGGAGGACATCAATCTTGCTATGTATTTTCATTAAATCACCGTTAAGCAGACGTCTTAATTGTTTACTGACTCGTGTGATGGAAATATCGATTGTTGCTAAATAACCTTCAATTAATGGGTTGTTTTGTTTAAACGTGGCCGCTGCGAGCATCTATAGTAATGATGAAACGAAGCGAACGTTCATGTGCCATTATTCTAAGCGGAATCATCAATTATCTCCGGTTTGATTCGAATAGAATGCGTCATATGTCTGTCATTTTGCGTAAAATACCACTATGGAAATTATTACGGTATCGCGAATGCCGCTGAAACCTTTCGAACGAGCGTTCTATAAACGTCGCCATTGTGACGCATTATTACGTATGTGATTCTAACCATATATTATTCAAAATGTAAATGTAACAATGAATGATCGTGCACACGTCCGACGAATTACACCTTATTTTATTCCACTGAGAAATTTATGACATCAAACGAGTTTCTTGTTACAAGCCAATGAACTCCTTTCCTTACAACATAAGCACCTGGTTAGAAAAATGCAGAATTCCCTTCGCAACGTCACTCTTTATTAACCCCTTTTAATATCTTATTTATATTGTCTTGTGTGACCATTCGGAATAATAGCGATGACTTCATTAATGATCGTTTTTTGTCTGTATATCATGCGAGAATACGTGTTACCGGATGTTTTTAGAATAAATTATGTAGGCGCTTCTGGTTTGTGTCAGAATACGGAAGTCTTTTAATCGCTCGCCAAAACCGAAATTGTTATTTCTTCGCAACCCACCCGTTAGTTGTAGTCCGAAGTCATACTAGCGCAAGTCGCTCTTTTTTAGCAACACCCCCACTCCGAGAAAACTGTAAGGGGAAGGACAGATTCACTGCGAATGTCGACATAGGCACATCCTAGACTAGTTACCTCATAGTGATACACAGTATCCCATCTTGCACCACGAATAAAGTATCGCATTGAAACAGAATTCGTATATAGTTCTTCCCAGTTAAGGGAAGGTGGTCCTTCGAACCCTTGGACGAAAATTTAGTCGGCGCACCATGTGCAAAATAACGAGAAGCTCAAACGATCCACATGATCGACCATGAGCACTCTCCAAAAATTAAATTCCTTTAAAATGAGACGATTAATATGCTACAGAAGTTTCTTTCCAAAACAAACATTTATATTTTAAATCTTTTTTATGCAACAGAGATACTGTTACAGGTTTCCTTTAAATCTGTGCAATGTTAAACATCAAAGGTTGTTTGATTATATTCGAGCCAAATAGAAATCTCATTTCTCTCGCGCAAAACCCATAAATGTCGTGATAATGACTTACGTTAAACACAAAAAAAAGGTTTGATCCGGATAGAACCGTATTAAAAGAAATCATATCGTACAGACCAATCACATTTCTATGCCCAACATCCGATCTCGTTTCCCCCGTTCTAAATCCATGAGTGCCGTGACAATGACGGATCGTTCACGGTATCCTGCACAATCTATTTCTCGGCGTTGATGAGCAATGAATCGCGTCAGAGGGGTTCACGGGGCCCAGAAAGAGACCAACCCACTGGAGCGTTACGAGAGCAGCGAGTCGTGGGTGTGTCTTGAATAAAACGGCCCGATACAAACCACCGCTTTACGTTAACACTCCACTCGAGAGCTGTTCTCTAAATCTCCAGTTATCATCGGGCGATCTTGTCTTGTAGGCTAACAGTGTACATTTATTTCACTCTTCATTCCTCATTTTCTAAATTAACTAAATCATTGAGAATAGTCAGACATAAATGGTCCTTTTAAAATGCCCATCCCGTGCATTTACTTACCACTGCTCATTCGATCTTTCGAAAGTTCTCTGATCATTACATCGACAGAAATGTGTTAGGCAATTACCTTGACCGTCCATTTGTAATAAAAACAATTGGCATTGAAGGATGAATGAATGAAGAACGTTAAGTACACTATCCACAAAGTAAGTACTTAAGTACCTGCTACTCCTGGGAGTTAAGACTGTCAAGCCGACACATCGATTACACGCGCATATTAAGTAGGAAGGCAGGAAAAACGGAAGGGAAAGGGGGAAAAAGGAGGACCGGTCTTAAGAGACCATAACCTCTAACAACCGTACCGCCTGTGTTCTTAATGAATTTTTAAAAGGATGCTCCCCGGCTGCCAAGG